AAGAGGTGTAAAAATTAGGGGGCATTAAATCTGTTGGGACCAGCGTCTACCATCCTCAGAGTGACGGGCTGCTGGAGCAGCTGAATAAGACTTAAAAGTCCATACGTTCATTCACAAGGATGAATGCAATTGAGAGTGCTGGCTAGCCCCTCTGTTGTTTGCAGTGCTGGAGCTGCCCCAGGCATTTGGGCTACCCCTTGTGAGGCGTGCAGGTGCAGGACATGGCCGCCATTGGATCCTGCCCCATCCCAAGACCAAAAAGGAGGTTAGGCGGTTCCCTCAGCCCTTTGACTGACGGGTCTAGGTTTGGCCGGATGCAGCCCCGGCCTCAGTGAGGCGGTGTGGTCTCTGGCTCTGCTGCCATGGAGGGGTGGTGCAGGAAAGGCTGATGAGGCAGGTGTTGTGCTAACGAGGTCTCCTTCCTTGTAGTAACGCCAGGGACCTGAGACTAGAGACCTCAGAGTGTGGAGTCAGATGCAAAGCTGACTGCCTGTAAAAGACCTCGGTGCCAAACCACAAAGAAACATTTCTGTGTGTTAAATAAAAGAAACGGAAAACAGTCACCTGAACGCTGCGTGGGGTCCAGATTTTTCACAGACTAAAATCTAGAATTTTCAACTCACCAAACTTATTGACAAAGGAGGCTGAGTAATCCCAGATACCACAGTTGAGTCCTGCTGAATGCTCCTGCAGCTCATAGAGAATCTCCTCCATCTCAAAGGCTGCCAACACGTTTTCAATCAGCACTGTGGCCTTGATGCTGCCCAGAGGAAGACCCAGCTAGACACATGTGAGACACGGATTCAGTCAGATACATATATACACAGTCAACAATGCATCCAGTCCCTTTAGGCTCTAACTGTTGTGGGACTGTCCTGGCTAGCATGTCTCTGTAACACTGGGACAAGAATAGAGGGATCACGCTTTGGACAGTTTACACCAGGCTAGTTAGTTAGCATTGGTTAGTCAAAGAGTATGTTGCACTAACAGCCTGTGTTTTGAGATCTGATGTGTTTTCAGATTCAACATAATTATATGTACCTATATATAATTGTTATATATACAGTTCCTGGGGTTCAGTAGATCCCAGGAATGACATGTGAGACATCTGTCCAGAGAAGTCCCAGAAACACCTTCAGCCTTCAGGCTCACCTCGGCCTCTTGTCGAGGGCCTGAGGTTAAAGTATAAAATGCTTTTAGCTTTTCATCTTTTTTTCTCTTTTGTTTGTCTTTATCAACCACTTCTTCCACATTAAACTCTCTTCTAAAGGTCCGCGAGAGCACAGGGAAGGCCGGTGTCAGGCTGCTGTCAGTGCACAGCGGCCCTACAAGCCAGAAACACAAGACGTAGTACAAAAACAAGTTTATACATAAACACCACAAATAGTGCAAACCTTCTGCTGTGTCCAAACAAATATTTTGTTCCAGAGTCTGGCCTCCATGTAGCCCTCCACCTACAGATAAAGGATAATAGTGCAAACGCAGATAAATGAAATCATCCGCATGTTTGAACACATGTAGGTTTGCACGTGTGTTACTTTGGACAGGTAGAAAAAGGGTCCACTCTTGTGTTCAAACAGTGCCTTTCCACAGTGAAACATGAGGAGCCCGAAGTCAAAGAGAGGGCCGGGAGCTTCTTTCCCCTCCACCTGACGACAGAAAAGCACACGTGTTATTTTTCTCACCAATCCTTTCATGTGTATGATCCTTATGTATTCAGACTACATTCGATTGCTTCCAACAAAACAACCACTGATGAAAGTTCAATACTACCATCATGTTGTGCTCCACCATGTTCCACGCACGGGGGCGCAGCATCAGCACGGGAGCCTGAGATATATGAGGAACATCTGCAGATGAAGGACGCCGGAGGAATAGCTCGTGAGAAAACATGGTAAAAATAAAAACAGCTGTTTTAAAGGATTTTTCTACAGATTTACAAGTTAAAACTTGAATGTAAAAAAGTCAAAGCCTAATGGGTTACTCCCAGGAGCTCGGGGGATTCCAGCATGGTGCAGTGAGAGGATGAAGGACACATTTCCTTGCTGCTAAATATTCCACATTCAAGTATTATATCAAAGTAGGAGTGGACGAGAACAACAGAAACAAAGTGGTAGCCCAGGTAGGGATGCACCGATACCGATACTGGTATCGGGTATCGGGGCCGATACTGTAAAATGTGTGTGTACTCAT